TATCAACAACCTCAGATATGCAGATGATACCACTCTGATGGCAGAAAGTGAGGAGGAATTAAAGAATTTGTAACAAGGGTGAAAGAGGAGAGTGCAAAAAAAAACCAGTCTGAATCTCAACATCAAGAAAACTAAGATCATGGCCACTGGTCGCATCACCTCCTGGGAAATAGAGGGGGAAGATATGGGCTCCATGATCACTGCAGATGGAGACAGCAGCCCTGAAATTAAAAGACCCCTGCTTCTTGGGAGGAAAGCAATGACAAACCTTGACAGCATCTTAAAAAGCAGAGACATCACCTTGGCAACAAAAGTCCGCATAGTCGAAGCTATGGTTTTCCCTCTAGTGATGTATGGAAGTGAGAGCTGGACCATAAAGAAAGCTGACCGCTGAAGAATTGATGCCTTTGAATTGTTGTGCTGGAGGAGGCTCTTGAGAGTCCCCTGGACTGCAAGGAGAACAAACCTATCCATTCTGAAGGAAATCAAGCCTGAGTGCTCACTGGAAGGACAGATCCCGAAGCTGAGGCTCCAATACTTTGGCCATCTCATGAGTAGAGAAGACTCCTTGGAAAAGACCTTGATGTTGGGAAAGTGTGAAGGCAAGAGGAGAAGGGGACAACAGAGGATGGGATGGTTGGACAGTGTCATCGAAGCAACCAACATGAATTTGACACAACTCCAGGAAGCAGTGGAAGATAGGAGGGCCTGGCGTACTCTGGTCCATGGGGTCACGAAGAGTTGGACACGACTAAACAACGCCAACGCTTAGGAAGGATCCCAGCAACATGTAAGTGAACTAACTGGCCTGGGGGAGGGAGACGGAACTCAGCACCACCTGTAGTGCCATGCTTCATACAAAACTGTATGAAGCACAATGCACCCATCCCTATATGAGGATTGCTATCAGTTTAGAGCAGCCAACCCCAGTCTGGTGCCTTTTAGATGTACTGGAGCACAACTCAGCCAGTATGGCTATAGCAACTCCAGTCCAAGCATTATATGGACAGAAGGCTGCCTGCATTATATGGAGATGATGAACTATTAGTGAAACCAATTACTAGGAACACAGACATAATTACTCTCCAAGACTGATGCCAGATAAAGCAAGGAATTTTGTATATAATTGACCTGACACATTTAAGCCCCCAGATTTCTCAACACAGTTGCAAACGGCATTCGTTGAGCTGTAATTCCATTTTTATTTAGATGGCTGTAATCACAAAAAGAAATAAAGCCAATCTATGCTCCACATTTTCCCTTATCAGTGTCATATAACTGAAAATATTTTTTTTAAATTGCAAATTAAAAGAAGGCTCTTAAAACCATCAATGACAAAACAAATATAACAAAACTCAAGAAGACATTGCATGATTAGAAATCATAACGCCTTGCCAAATTTATGCAACGAATATATAGCTGCCCAAGTAAATTGCCTTTTGATGGCAGAGGCAAGGCCCCTTTTCCAGCTGAGGGGGTTTTCTTTGCTTGCTTAGAAAGATATCCCAGGTTTCGACTGTGGGCAGCTGTGTCTCTACCCTCTGAGAATTGCAGTCCCTTATGAGACCAGTTCCCTATTTGTTTTTCCCCCCTTTATTTGGTTCACTGCTTCTTGGCAGTTTCTACCCAGCAACCCCCCCAATCCTAAAAATCTAGATTCCTCTGGGTGAAAAGCTGGTAATGTTTCCACCCGCCCACCCCCAACTTGCTGCCACTCCTACTATTTACTGTTTTTGTCCTTTGGAATCCTGCTATAAAAAACAAACAAAATTACTTCCCAAACTCAACAGTGAATCAGCACTTATAACGGATGCTAACTTTTACGGGTAAATGTTTACATGCTATAGGGCTTGTGCTGCTAATGATGTCCAGCTAGTGTAGAGGAGTTACAAAGCAGCCCTATTGGCTTACTCTCCTCTATCTTCCCCCTATGGAATAAATGTTGGATGCTTGAATAGTCTTGTTTTCTCCTCAGCACCACAAAACAAGTGCTTTACAGAACAGGTTTGTCACATCTAACCAAACAGTTTGCTATCAATGAGAACTGTCTTGCTGTCACTCTTCTGATCTGAATCCTCTTCAATTTTGCCTACAGCAGCCACCAACCAGGGGGGAGACAGGAATCCTGTAACGCTTGCCTAGAGTACTTCAAGAGGTAAAATGCCTCCTCGGAGCCCCATTTTTAGCTATCATAGTGCACTAGGCAAACACTATTCAGTGATTATTACCATTGCTGCTACTTGGGACACACAATCCATACATAGGACCTCAATCCAACTGCTAGTCCCAACTAGGGCAGACTCACTGAATATACAGGATATATTTAAGTGTTAGCTCACCATTCAGCAGCAGATTCAATGGGTCTATTTTACCGGGAATTAACAACTCCAGGTAAAGGCAGTGGTACGTATTCACTATTGAACGGACATTTTATTTATGTTCAATAATTCTGTCCCTTTATTGTGCTTTTAAAAATGCACATTCAGCAGCATTTCCTTCTGTAAAAAAAGAGTATTAGAGAAATTCCACAAAACAGGATGCCAAACATGTATCTCTGCATTTTCATATTTTCCTAGGACTAATCATCACATCGGTGCAAATGAATATTAACAGCAACACGGAATTAAATTTATGCTCCATTAGAGCTGGCCTCAACCACTTCTGTACTGCTTGAAAACCAAGCAGAAACCTCTCATTTTAGAAATCCCATGATTCTGCAACATGGGGTCTGACTTCTACTTCCTCCTGTATCTGTTAAAAGGCGGCCATGACTCTCAGTCTCATTTGCTTTCTTTCCTAACCCCCTCTAAGGAGCAGACATGCTGTGGCTCCTTCTCCTGCGTGCCCTCAAGGTATTGTCTATATGAAATCCTGTGTAAACTCAGGGTGCAAACCGCTACTCACCCAAGAGCCAGCTCTGTCAACTCTTTTTCTGGAGGCATGCGTAAGACTGCACTGATTCCCACACATCCTCCAACATTTAGGTTGCACCCCTCAACTAACAATAAAGCCCACAAAATCAGGGAGGTTTATTTCGAGTAGACTTGTATAGGACTGCAGCACTGTAACCAGGTGATGGCAAATCTTTAACATTTTAAATGGCCCCAACATCGTTGTGGTCGCCTTTGACAGCATTCTTCCTTGGGGTCGTAACAAGACTACATTTGTAATGTAATCCCTTATTCTAAAAATGTATTTAAAAGATGTGTATCTTTAAAAACTGGCAGAATACAGAGGTCATTTTCTCCCAAAGCTGTTAACAATAAATTAACTGAAGTAAATGAGTCCAAAATCCAGCAAGCTATTTTTCTTATTTTATGCATCTATATAGGTCATTCTCCGATCCATCTTGGTCAACAGGTTTAGAAAGGGCAGCCAACCCTGCACCTTTCTTCACTGATTACTCGACATGAAAAGGGGCAAGTCAGAAATGAGGCTCCTGCCGATGTGTAAGTTCCACACATAATCAAGAACCCACATTTTCCACGATTCTTGCTTACAGGCAGAGCTTGCACATATAAGCCTGGTCCTCTCCTCTTCAGGTTCATCCTTGCCTGGATGGGAAAAAATTACTTTATCCTTTCTAGCCATGTTGGGAAAGATGGATTTTGAGAATAACCAAGGAGGGCTATGGTATCCGTGCATTCAAGCATTTTTATGCACAAGAGAGGCCACAGTAAATCCACTGAGGCCACTAAAATATCTAAATATTTGTGGGACCATTATAGTGATGTCTTTGGGGCCTTCTGGAATGCACATCCTAAACAACATTGTAACAGCAAACATAATGATAAGGAACATCATTGTGAGAAAATACAATACAGTCTCAGAGCACACAGGGGAATATAGAGAGAGATTTCAAGTGCTGTCAACCTTAAATCATTGCCTCAGACTTCACATTAAATTAGCAAAATACTTTGTGTAAATATACTTAATTCCCTTATGTTAGTATCTCCCAATGTATATCTTTCCTTTTTAAAAAAAAAAACACTGATTTTACTTCATATTTAAATGTAAGATATTAGACTTATCTGAGAAAATAGGGCCTGAAATTTCAAAACCATGTTTCCATGGATTTCCACACAAACCAACAAAGTGAACTGGTTTTCCAGATACTGTGTTTCAGCTTATTCTACTGTGCGGAAACAATCTTCTCATGCATAGAAAAAAATGCTGGTACTTGCAAGGCGTCACAGAGAGACAACCAAAAAATGAGAATGAAATCTCAGTTAAAACGGATGAAGCTGAAAGGCAAGCACTGAGTAGCAGAAAACAACTAGGGTGTTTTGCATCTCAACTGTCATTCTTTCTTGCACAGTGCAGTATGGAATTTACTTGTCCCTTTGTGACAAAAAGAGCAAAAAAAATTTTTTTCAAAACTTTGGTGTTTGGACATTCCATATTCTGTAATTTAAAATGCTAACAAGTCTTTCCAGAAAGTAAGTAAAGTATTTATGTGCATGAAGGTAACTGTGTGAATATTGTCCCTGGCTGAGGAAAATGCCCATCAAATGCTGCTGTAATCCGTTCTTTTGGCGACAAAGGCTGGGGCTGCCCACTCGACAGAGAAAAATGAAATTGTCCCAAAGAACCCAACAACAGCCATAATCAGAAGCTGCCATTGAAGAAACAGGTAGTTGCTGTAGAAGTAAGCGATGGCTGCACAGACAGACTGAAAAAGAAGCCAGAGAAGTGGTGAATGAATGTTTACTAACAATTCCTTTCAATTTCAGTGACATTCAGTTTTAATGGTATCGGGGGAGTAGCCACTTTAGTCTATTTCCAGCACAAACAAACATAAAACAGAAGTGCTGTGCCACCTTTACATCCAACACATTCATTTCCACGTGAGCTTTTGTAGGTTAGGGTTGTGTCTGAAGGAGGCTGTAATCCACAAAAGCTTCCTCTGAAATAATTATGTTACTCATAAAAGTGCCACAATACTTCTACAGCATTTTTGTTTTACTTCGGTTCTAATGACGTTCTAAGTCTCTCTTGAATTTCACAGCATAATTTCCCAGACCAAGTTCATTTTCTAACTGACCTTGTTCTATTACATTTGCCCATTTCAAACAATAAGTACCTTTCCACGGAACCAGAATCTATTGGCTAAATGCCCAATCTGTTTAATGTGCATTCACTGACAGGCAGCATGAAATTCAATATAAGATTTTGAGAGGTGAGCAACAACTCATTGATTTTTTTTGCATCTACCAATCCTATTTCATGCACTGTGCCACTTCTTTATTTAATTTTGGTTGCTATAAAAGGCCAATCTTCCATTTCTAGAGGTTATTGAAGCTTCAGTTGTATACCCAATTTAATGAAGGTTAATGCAGCTCACTCCAAATTAAGTGCATATAGGACTGGACCCTCAAAAATCCAAATACTGGGACTTAACCTCAGTAGGATTTAATTCCAAGAACACTTCTCCCTTCAACAGCGCTGGGGTTAGGGGCACTGGGCCCCCATGTAGTTCAAAATCCATGTATAACTCTCATGCTCCCCCAAATATAACTACAAAGCATAAACCATTGATTAGCAGACATCACTCCCCTGACATACATCAGCCTCCCAGCATGTCCCAGGACCCAGCCCAGTTGTCACATGGAGCTGCCATGAGAGGAAAGAGGCCAGCCTGCCTCCATTAGATTGGGGGCCACCGCAATGCCAACAACAGGGGCCTTAGGTAAGCCTAAAATCCACCTTTGAGAGGCCACTTCCTGGAGACAAACAGCATAGTATTGATTGAAGATTGATTGATTGGGGGGGGGAACCCTGCTTATAACCCAAATCATGTTTCTCAGATCCATGCAGTTCAAGGGAGAAGGGTACTAACCAATCTTTTCTATATTGACCACAGGAGTATTCATGTATTTAAAATTGGCTACTAATCTATCATGTTTTTATCATCGTTATGTTGTAACAACATAAGGATTTATATGTTCCCTCAGAAGTAAATCCCACTGTTTTTATTAATATTAATATCCTAAATTTGCACTCGATTGTAGTCTACACTTCTACCTTTTGGTTATGCAAAAATGCTACAGCAGAAACAACTTGGCAATGTTGCCATACCCAGCATCCAATGGAAGCCTGGTGGTGATTTATCCACTCTTATATGGACTTCTTTTATCTCTGAGTAACTACTGTACAGTGGTGCCCCGCATAGCGAGGTTAATCTGTTCCGGATTAACCTTCGCTATGGGGAAATATCACTAAACGGAACGGAAAAGCCCATTGGAACGAAGTTTAATGCGTTCCAAATGGGCCCAAAACTCACCGTTCTGCGATGTTTCTCCATGTTCCGGCGGCCATTTTGGGTGTTCCGGCGGCCATTTTGGAACTGCCGAACAAGTGTTCCCCCATCGCAATGCGATAAAACATCGGTATGCGACTACATTAGTGATCGCAAAATCCGCATCGCTATGCGAATTCATCGTTAAACAGTGCGCTCGTTATGCGAGGCACCACTGTATGTGCAATTACTGTAAAACTGCTGTATGATTTGTTTGTTGTTATTCCTGCAAGCTATTATACACACATGCATGCATCTGGCTCTGCGTTCTGGCAACAAAACTTACCTGAATGAATTTAAAGATGGCAAAGGCAGGGGCACTGTCTTCTGAGTACAGAAATCCCAAGATACTGAGGAGTTGAGTGTTGAAACAACTATCGCCTAGGCCTAACAAGAAGCTGCAAAATATGGCCACTTCTTTGCTGAAAACGGAAAGAAGCCAGCATAATGCATACAATTATTATGGGTACACTGTATGATGTGCAAACTAAATATTCACTATTTTTGTTACAGCTGACTGAAAAAAGTGGCACGATTCAGACAATTATTAACCAGCTGCATCCTTACAAGAACAAGCAGCTCCTGGGTTTACTTCCATATGTTTCTGCAACAAATTTTCACATACATTTTAGAAGATTAACTTCAGAGTTCAAAATACAACAGCTAAATGGGTCTTAATGTACTCCTTTTAAAAAATGTTCACTGTTTCTTTGCTACCTCAAGGACACTGAAGGGACAGATCATGAGTTTGTTACTGAAGGCCTTCACGACCAGGATCCAATGGTTGTTGTGGGTTTTTCAGGTCGTTTGGCCGTGTTCTGGAGGTTTTTCTTCTTAACATTTCACCAGTCTCTGTGGCTGGCATCTTCAGAGAACAGGAGCTAGAATTCTGTCTGGAGTGGTGTGTGGCATTGTTGAGTATTTGTAGCTGTGGGATAAGGGCTTTTCGTTGTTGTTCTTTTCAGGAGATTGGGTATTTCCCGTGATCAGGGTGTTTTGTTATGGGTGTTTTGTTGTGATAGGGAAAGATGATGGGTGTCGTTGGCTGGTCTTTTGTGTGAAGTGATCACCAGTCCTTGTGGGGGGTAGAGTTCATTGACCTTTAAAATCAACAAAGCCTGGCTCCCAGCACTGAAAAATACAGCCTGCAAAAAGGTCAATGAACTCTGCCCAGCCACAAGAACTGGTGATCACTCCACACAAAAGACCAGCCAAGGACACCCATCAATCACAGTGACAGATCATCTCTCCCCCTCCCCAATCTCATCTCTTGATGCCTTTCATTCATCTAAGGAAAGATGATGTTCCCCCAAAGCAAATAAATGGATGAAGACGAAATATTTGTTGTGAAATAGTAGTCAATATTAAAACCAAGGACAATATTAAAACCATTTAAAAATCTCTAAATTCAATAAATATAGCATTCCTCACATACATACTTCCCACTTATTGTCAAAACCCTGCCTGGAAAGGAAGGTCTTTGCCTGGTGATGAAAGGATAAGAGGGAGGGGGGCCAACTTAGCTTCATGGGACAGTGCATTCCAGAGCCTGGGAATAGCCACTGAGAATGGCTTCTCTTGTGTCCTCATCAAATAAGTGTCAGAAGGTGGTAGAACCAAGAGATATGGGGTATGAGCCTTCTTAGCTTTAAAATAACATCAGACCCAAATACATAGCATCTGACATTCAGCTTGCCAAGTCATACAGCATCTGACAAAGCAGATATTTAACACATCTGTTTCTAGAATCATTTGTTTTCAAATGTCAAATGAGTCTCAAAATATGTTTCAGAAAGTCCTGAAAGAATGTTTATCTTAAAAGTGAAATCATATTCACCTAACCGCACGAAGACTCAAAACAATCATAAAAATGATTTACAAATAGAAAGGCCTTTCACATATCATGCAGAAGACATTATTCCAGCACAGAAAGCATATCTGTGTTTAAAGAAAGGGGTTCACTTTCCATCTTGCTGGAGGAGAATCAAAATATGTAAGACCTCTGCTGAGGATAAAACGCATGATTTGTTCAAAGGATACACCTTCACCTCATCGTTATTCAGGAAAAAAAGAAAGCATTTTCTTTTGTCCATCTCAAAAAAAAAATTTTTGACCAAAAAGGAGTAGGAAAAAATACCTTGGTTCCATGAATGCTCTACTGTCTGTTCCATCTATGGAGGCAATGGGGGCATCATTTGGTATGTTGTAGAAAATCAAATAGAAGGCTATGAAATGGACCACAATGCCTAACATCACCACTGGATTCCTACCAAACTGGTTGCTCTTGCTCAAGAGACCAAAGATTCCCCCACCTGTGGAGAGAATATATCATTATTGTGAATGAGAAAAGGGGGGAAAATCTGACATAACTTCCAGTATATCAGATATTCACCATGTAAACAAGATTATGACAACAGAGTAAAATAGAAGAGTGTTCCATGAAACCAGTGGTTCCCAGCCTTGGATAACCCAGGTGTTCTTGGACTGTAGTTCCCAGAAGCCTCCACCACCAGCTGTGCTAGGCAGCATTTCTGGGAATCGCAGTCCAAGAACACCTGGGTTACCCAAAGTTGGGAACCATCAGGGAATACGCTTCTATTTTAATTTGTTGTCCTAATCTAATTTACATGGTGAATATCACACTTACTGGAAATGTCTGATTTTTCCTTAAACCGTTTCAATCACTGTGCTATATCAAGGAGGAGAAACAAATAACCAAGCAGAAAACTGGCTTCTTAGGATTTCTGGCAGTAAAGGAGAATCTGTTATTTGGAATAGCTCACAGGAAACAGCTAGAAAGAACTGCACAGGCTGTCAATTCATTACAATTCCCAGTTCAAAGTGACCAAAGGTATTTAGGCTGATGCCTTGCTTGACATAGATTCTCCCCGCATAGTCCGACATGCCACCTGCTCTGCTAGATGTCAAACAAAACCATTGTAATCCTGCTAGGAGACTGAGGGTTTTTAAAAAATCTTTTAATTAGCATCTTCTAATTCTGCTTAGTTTTGCATTGATTGCATTTTAAGTGTTTACTGAAATTTAAATCTTCACTGTCCTGGAGTCTTAGAAAAAAGCCATGTGGTTTTTGCACACAATCCAAATCTTATACACAGAGGCTTAGCTTTTGACTCTGCATGAGTCTTCATCAAGCTAGGCATTACAGAACTCGGAATAGTGCAAAAAAATAAAATAAAAAAGAAACATTCCAAAATCCATGATCAAGTGTGCAGGCCAGGTTTTTTGTTTAAAAGATTTTCAAAATGAGGACTTCAGAATGCACTCAAGAGATGGCAGGTCCCACCTTTCATCTCCAATAATGTGGATTACAATGTCCCAAATTTGTAAGACAAAGAGCTGCCAGTCATGTCTTGCCTTATGAAGGCTTGTGTAGAGCCAAGAGCTACCTTCCATGTGTAAGATTTTAGTGGTCTAATATTACCCACTAGGGATGTACCACTAAATTTTTTTTAAAATTCTGATCCAGTCCGAATTCAAAGAGGTACATCCCAGAAACACAAGTCTAAGTACGGACTAGCTGTATGTACCTCTCCTGGTGGCTTCTTTGGACTGTTTCTACTTTTAGGAACAAAGAAGCAGCTCAAGGCCTTCCTGGGAGGTGTAGTTCTTTGGGAGGCACCGCAAAGAGCTTAATGGGCAGCAAGACTACACCTACCAGGAAGCACTAGGACTCCCAGGTAGCAGGAAGCAAAGTCAAAGAAAGCCACAGAGCCTCCAAGATAGACCCTTCTCCAGCTGAACAAAATATAGCTTTCCGCAGGTGTGGGTGGAAACTCTCAGAATTCCGGCTAGGGAATTCTTGGAGAAGTCATGGAGTCCAAAAACATCCCAACTGGTGTATCCCTATTATTTCATCCTGGTCTCTCAAATCTTGGGGCAATAAATACATTACATAACTAATAAACACACAAAAAACCACACAACCGATTTATAAATTCCACAGAAACTCGAGGATGCATCGCAGGACATTATGAACCATGGACATTCAGCTTGCCAAGTATACAAGCTGGGAATATTTTAACTAAGTTTAGTTATTAAAGTAAATGCAAAAGTGTGTGTCCCTGCACTTGGGCTTACAAAGCTCACAGACTTATAATTAGGGCACAGCCGACCTGCACATACTGGGGGAGCTTTTTGTTTTCTACTATAACTCCCACAATGGCCATGCTGGTTGGGGAATACTAAAATTTGCAGCTCAAAAGAAAAGATTTTTTTTTCAAACTCTGGTTTCTAATTTCTTGAAAGGATTTCTTCGTTGGACAGGAGATTAGAAGCGAGACATTTCATCCATATTCTCTAAAGTTCAAATTCAAATATACTTATTCCATTCTCAGTTATGACTGCTGTGTTCTAACTTCACTTATGTTCTGACGATAGCAGTCAACTGTTTTAGAAAATACGCATCCAAAGGATGAAGACCGGCTCACTCCAGGACATCAGATGCAGTCTGTCCACCAAGTCTTTGGTGAGTCTGCCTCACGTCCAATAAGCTAGAAAGAAGCCAACACTGCAACAGCAAGGGAGCCAACCCACCTCAAATGGTGGCAGAGTCAGGCACACATTCCTTCACCATCTACCCCTAGCTATTCCTAACTGGAGGCCAAGGCCCGATTCTCACACCAGCAAATGAAGCAACAACTGTGTCTTCACTGTACCACTTCAGAAGGCAAGAGCAGGGACTTGCATGACTGAATTCTTCTTTGCAGTGGTTTGGGGTATTTTTCATTGTTTAATCTCCATGTATTATACGTTAGGGAAAGGGAAAAGCTAGAATCTTTCTCTTTGGGTTTTCGGCAGGCAAAGATACATTTTCATCTTGGTTGATGAAAATAAGATTCAGTCACCCGAATCGTCTGCATTCTAAAGTGAGGCCCTACAAGCATAGGTCTACCACTTAATTTGTACTCTGTGAGAACAAGCCATGAACATAGCTACCTGCACTGGCTCCAAGTACTAGAAAAACAATCTGCATTTTTTTATATTGAACAGCTGCTTGTCTTGGCTATAGAAGTCTCATGCTGCAGAGCATGCATAATCTATAATGGGCACTGCTTACTCCCAACATCAACAAACACAAACTTGCTAGCTGACATCCCATTTCAGAATTCATCCTTTATTTGAGGAGTAAGCAAGTGAAATGGATGTATAAAGCATTTCCTGGCCATTTGGAACAAGTCCAGCTTCTTTGCTATGTTATTTTGGCTGCTTATATATGATCCCGTTACAGACAATAATATGTTCTGCTATTTCAGGATCCCATTTAGACTCACCTAATATTTCTCCAATGCCAATAAAAATACCAGAGAGTCCAATCAGGCTTTTTTCTTCATTTCCAAACTTATTTACAGCACCTATACAGGTCCCATACACTCCAGAGAAGAATGTTAATTCCAGACCTTGAAAGAAATAACATTATTTCAGTTATGGTTGTGCACGATTGCTTTATCCTTATGCACTGTTCTGAGAATGGTATTCCACAGAGAGAAGGTTGCAAAATAATCATATTAATTCTGGCTGCATTCCAATATAAGATGCTAATAATTTAAGAGGACAAGTAAACATTGAATAGGAAGCCACACAGAGTTCAGAAATATAAAGCAGCAGCTTCCAAATAAGCTCCATACATATGAAGCCCTACAGTTAGCTTATAATTTTTTTTTTTGAAGATTGTCAGTCATCCAGGTGAGGTTATCTGGAAGTTGCGTCATGGCAACTGGACTTCTTTATTAGGTTGAAACTTTTCACAACTCATCCAAGTAGCTTCTTTAAGTCTGAGGAGAGTTGGTAGGAGATCCTAGATATACCTCCACATTGGCTTCACTTCCCCCCTGGTCTAAATAGGCGCGTTAGATGGACAAAGGACTGGCGGCACAGATTTTCACTCACTCCCCAGTCTTTTGTCCATCTGACAAGTCTATTCAGACCATGAGGAAGTAAAACCAATGTGGAGGATATATCAGTGGTCTCCTACCAACTCTTCTTAGACTGAAGAACCTACTTATTGTGCTTCCCTGAAAATAAGACAAAGACTTGTGTTAATTTTTGCTGCAAAAACACGTTAGGGCATATTTTCAGGGGATGTTTTATTTTGTTCATGTACAACAATCGGCATTTATTCAAATACAGTCATGTCATCATCTTCTGGTTGCTGCACAAGGGTGAAGGGTGGGGTTTCACTTCACTGGGATTTATTTTGGGGATAGGGCTTATATTACAAATATCCTGAAAAATCATACTAGGGCTTATTTTCGGGGAAACAGGGTAGATGAGTAGCGAAATGTTTCAACCCTAATAAGAAGTCCAGTTCTAGATGTATATATTGTTATGTGACATCAAATCAGAACCAACTTATAGCAATGCTAAGAGGGCTTTTCAGGTAAGTGACGTATTTAAGGAATGATTTTACCAGTCGCCCACTGAGATTCCATAGCTGAGCACAAATTTGAACCAGGCCTCCTGAGTCCCAGTCCATCACTCCATCCACCCCATCACAGTGGGCATCAGTTCATTTATTATATATTGTTAGGTGACATGAAATCAGAACCAACTTATAGCAATGCTAAGAGGGCTTTTCAGGTAAGTGACGTATTTAAGGAATGATTTTACCAGTCGCCCACTGAGATTCCATAGCTGAGCACAAATTTGAACCAGGCCTCCTGAGTCCCAGTCCATCACTCCATCCACCCCATCACAGTGGGCATCAGTTCATTTATTAGCCGCCCTGAAACAAAGCTTCCATAGATGCAAAAGCTGGGCATACCTATTGTAAAACTATGTAACATCCTGAAGAGCTGCTGTGTACAAGATTGAACGTAGAGGCATTCTACCACATGCTATTGCCCAAAATATACATTTTGATTTTTAAAGAACATCTCTTTATTGAGGCCTAAATTCAATCCAAAATCTCCACCAAGGTAGAGCTCTTGAATAAATGGGATTTAACGGAGTGTTGACTTTACATTCAGCAACTGATTTGATAGCTGAAATCCTTTTGTTTGGTCTAATAAGCTCAATCAGTGGGGATCTGATACGTCTTCTTCATAGGTTCCATTGAGTCAAATGGGCAGACTCTAATTGTGACTTAACTATGCTTAGCAACAGGATTTCAGCCTACGTACCTAGTCTCATCAGGATTAAGGGACCACATGGAAAAGAAGATGATGAGTCTTGTACCTTTAACTGCAAGTGGAAGATGGAATTTCAGCAAGTGAAGTATGTACAACAAGTGACATTAAAATTTCCTCTTCCATACAACTGTTGGAGCCCTGTATTCTTTTTCATATGGCTATTAGAATTTAAGTGACCCCCATAAATAATAAAAAAGCAAGACCAGATGATAAATTTATTAAACCATTAAAAATAAAAAATAGAAATTGCTAGCTTTCAACCTATACTAATCTTCATCAGACTGTGAACCAATATATTGCGGATATTCTTGTTTTTTGAGCTATGAAGGATACCTCATAACTATGGTTGCTAGCATAATTATACTTGGAAGCTAAACCAAAAGAATGTATTCCTTTTCTTCTAAGAGTTCTATCCAAATAAGGTAGACAATTGCTGGTTTAGCTCGTGTTACAATGTACACTTTGAATGAACCTGAAAAGTTAAATAATCAGATTTTATAAGTAGTTTTCCCAGATTAGACAACAATACAAAACCTGGGAAAGCAAGCCAAGTTACCAACAGTGGCACCGTATACAGGGTGGGGGGGATGCTGAAAAAAATATGTAAAATTTAATCACATTTAAATACAGAACCATTAACTGCTTCCCAACACACTCTGACCCTCTTTCACAAAGGTCAAACAACTTCCACCAGGTCTATCCGTCCCTATATAACTGCAGGTAAAAATAACAACAAAAACCTATTTTGCTGCAGGAGCTAGAGTATGACTTTCAATTTGGATGTAAAAAAAATACTAAGAGGTGGTAGCAAAGCCATGCAATGTGCACAAAGATGTCATTAATCTGTAGTTGATGTTGGCTCAAAGACAAGGGCAGATTATAATCCTAGCCCGCATATTAGATTAGACCTGGGCAAAGTGCGGCCCGAGGGCCTACTAAGAGATGGTAACAAAGCCATGCAATGTGCACAAAGATGTTATTAATCTGTAGTTGATGTTGGCCCAAAGACAAGGGCAGATTATAATTCTAGCCCTCATATTAGATCAGACCTGGGCAAAGTGCGGTCCGAGGGCCACATACGGCCCGCTAGCCGCTCCTGTCCAGCCCGCAGACAGTTTTGAACATCAAAACCATTTATAGATTTTTGTCTAAAGTTGATCAGTTGCTTATCTTTAACATACCGCAAAAAGCCTCTTTAGTATTTGTGAAGATTAACAAGTTTATAATAAATCATAACATCACTGTTCCGTTTTATTTTTAAGTAAAGTTGGTTCAGCCCCCAAACACAGTTCAGATTTTTCATGTGGCCCCCCTATAGAAATTAATTGCCCACCCCTGCATTAGATAGTGGGAAACTCAAAAATTGCCTGCAGCCTAAAGCAACTATAGATATTCTCCACTGTAGCCACCAGATGGCAATCCCTTAACACTTTTCTCATAAGCTGCCAAGGAGCTGCTCCCTTGAGTAGGAAAAGAGCTCCCCAAGCATGCTCATGGTGCAGTGGATAGTGACACCAGCTTGGGTTTGAATTCCTGCTCAGCCATGGAAGTTCACAGTGGGTGTAGAATTAGTAAAACGCTCCTTAAATAGTTCACTCACCTTGAAAGGCCTATTAGACTCACTAGAAGTCACATAAAAAGCTGCTTAGTGTGTTATATATATGATGAGTCTTATATAATGGATTGTGTGTCTAGAGCAACTTCAGCAAACTAAGCAGCTTTTTATTACAAAAACACATTGTCTTTTCAACTGTAGACAAAGCTTAAGAGAAAGCCTCATCTCTCTCCATGGTTCTCTCACAACAAAAGCCGAACATAAAAGGAAATGCCATACGTGGAACGGGAACATAAACACAGATTGACAAAAGTCTGAGGAGATAAAAGGAAAGAGAAAGTGCTTGTGGATTTACAGTATGGATTTGCAGATATAAAACAAATGAACACTGAGAAAAGTCATCTTAACCAAGCATCCCTGTACAAACTCAAGAGGACAGTATTTGTATCCTTCTTCAGTTACCTGTATATGCTGTAGTAACGCTGAGCAGCACAATCTCTTTCGTGGCACACAGCTTAATAGACCTTTCTGTAGAGAAGGCACAGTTTAAAAACATACACGCTGAGAAGTATCACTAATGTTGGGGCTAAATAAGGATAGTCTGGGTTGAACAACATCACCTCTTCCCTCAATCAGAGTGAACTCTTCTCTCTTAATATACCAGACCTCAGAACTGCAGTACATACAAGACTTCTGTATAGAAAATTCCAGCTTATGTGTGATTTGAGCCAAAAAGAATACCCTAAAAGGCCTCCTCCTTGCCTTGGCTACATTATAGGGACATCATCATTTTGCTGCTTACAGCAGGCAAGCCATTGAAGAGCCTCGTGGCGCAGTGGTTGAAACGCTGTACTGCAGCTAAAACTGAGCTCACGACCTGGGGTTCAAATCCCAGGTAGCCGGCTCAAGGTCGACTCAGCCTTCCATCCTTCCGAGGTCAGTAAAATGAGTACCCAGCTTGCTGGGGGGGCAATGTGTAGCCTGTATAATTAAATTATAAACTGCCCAGAGAGTGCTTGTAGCGCTATGGGGTGGTATATAAGTCCAATAAATAAATAAATAAATAAATAAATATTATTTCCATGTCCCTCTATCCCTCTGGTCATGGCCCCCCAGACAAGGGAAGAGTCTGCCAGGCACCAAGCTGAAGGGAACTTTAAAGAGAACTGTCACAAGGGGAAGTTGTCTCCATGAGGAGACCTCCAACCACGATATTCAACTGTAGCACTGGGAAATGGAGTAAGAATTGTTTGATCTTTCAATAAAGGGAAAGATGTCAAGAGTTGGAGAAAGGAAAGGCAGCTGCTTCCATCTGTTTCTGAAGGACACCCCACAAAAGCTCCTGTTGAAAGCATTTCCACCTGACAATGGCTGCCATGCTGGAATATCTGAAGTGTCTTAGCTCCCAAGGACTTCTTCCCTGGAATTCTACTTACTAAATGCATCTACAGCCTTCGTCATCACGCTTGGCCCAGATCTGTTAAAAACAGATGTTTATTTAAAGTGAGAAAATGAACAATTAGTCAAGAAAGTAAATTATAACGGTGTTGTTTGTACTAAACTGTTAACAAGAGTTTTTATTTCCACAACACTTCTCCATGGAAAAACTGACAGGATGAATGTGGGAAAAGACATGCCTTTCAGAAATGAAACAACTGAACTAGGAAATATAGAGATCAATTTTATTTTGTTGATTATTTTTCAATGAGCTCTTTTCTCTGTCAGATTATCTCTGTCCTCCTAAGCCTTTAAAGATGCTTTATGAATGAATATACAGTCAACCCTCGACTTACAACAAGTATCTTTAAAGGAAGGAAGTTTGTAAGTCGAATCAGCATTTCCCATAGGAATGCATTGAAAACCAATTAATCTGTTCCAGCTGTTTTTGGTTCTTAGGTCGAGGGGCGGTTTATAACTCGAATCATTAGTTCCCATAGGAACTAATGCAAAGTCGATTAATCTGTTCCTACCACTAGGGGCAGATTTTTTCTTTTCCTTTTCCTTTTAACCTAAGATGACTTAGGTTTAAAAAAGAGGAAAGAAAAGAAGGAGGGAAGGAGGGAACAGACACCTTTTCAACAGAACCTTGAAATGCACATTTTCAGCCAAGACAAGCACCTTCTGGGAAAAACCAAGCACCTTTCAGACAACAGATCACCTTGAAAAGCACCTTGTCAATCAAGAAAAGTCAATACAGTAAAAGCACCTTTTGGGGGAAAGGGGGTAGCAAAGGAGGGAGGGAACACCTTTTAAAAATCCAAAAATCCAAAAATTTTTAAAAATCCAAACAATAAAAATACAGTCCGTACAGCACTGTACCAGGCAATACCAGGCAGTCTGAAGACTGTCTCCCAATCCACGCTCTAAACACTGGGAAGAACGAGGAAGCAGACAGGCACCCTCTTCACTGGCCAACGGTTAACTGAAAGTTCAAATTTTGCGCTTTCCCCACCTCCCGCACGTGTTTTTTTTTTTTTTGGTT